AGCACACAGACAACCCCTTGTCAATATGCGTTTTCTGCATTGCATAGCTGCGAAAAACACATAAAAATTGGATGATGAGATCCATGTAATGCAAAATTTGCTGTCTTTCGTACCAATATTTGATTCCAATGAATAATAATAAACGAAAGAAACATGATAAATCACAAACTTTCGATGAATCCAGCAGCCGTGGTTTTTTCGTTGTTAATGTGATTTCATTCCCTGCAAATGCAATGAATATAAAAAACAAATAATCAACTTGAGCAAGAACGTATGGCCAGAAAATTTTTGAAATAAAAGAAGGAGACATGTAGCAGCTTCTGTGGGAAAACTATTCTAGAAAAAGTATTTTTTTTTGTTTAATCAGTAGTAGTTTTAATAGAAAATTCATTAACAATGCGACAAGTATAAAGCATGGCCATTTAAAATGTTGAAATACTAAAAACTTAAAAAAAAAACAAAGGGCCATGGACTAACAAGGAATCGAACTCCCCCTTTTCACTACCTTCCAATTTTCAAAATTGTGAGATGTTAACCACTGCAGCATCCCATCCTGTGGCTTGCATTTAGCATATGGGAGCTTATGAATCTGTATATGTTGGCGCCCACAGACACATAAACGCACATGCACACACTGCAGCAAACACTGCAGCAAACAGCACCCAGTTTCTAACTTCGGCCCACTTTTCGAGGATATTCGCAGGACAAAAAAGACGTTTCTGCCTCTTTCCCACCCCTCCTCTCTCCCCACTCCATTACCTCAAAATCCCGTGAATAATTTTTTGTCATGCACTGCGGATAACAATGATCAAAAAGTCAGCAAAACGCCTGTTTTTTGATTAATGAACATTTCCGTTCACAATTTACTTTCTCTGAATAAGACACAAACCTTCACTGCGAGCGACACGCTTTATTCCAACACCAGCCTCTGCTACTGCTGCGTCAGCAGCTGCTTTCTCTTCGCTGTCGGCATTCATTTTCAGCAGCTTCTCGTTCAGCTCAGATATTTCGGCTTTCGTTTTCGTCACAAATGCTTCAATCTTTTTGAAAAGCTGAAAGAAACTTCGTCAACAAGTTGTCGCGTAATACAATAGATCGAAGGATAATAAAAGCCCAGTTTCCGTGGAAGGCAAAGGCTTTTGAATACAGTCTAGATTTCGCATTTCTGCAGACAGAAAAGGCAATAAAAAAATTTTTGAATGCGGAAATTACGAGGTCCGAACGAGGTGAAATGTTTTTTGAACACCACACAAAATTTAAAGCAGACTCTAAATCAAACCTTGTACAGGTGTTTCTTTTTTTCTGGAGTGATGTTTGGTTCCTTCATTTTTTCCAGTATCATTTTCTGTTGTTCGATTTCTTTGGACATAAGATCCGATTTTCTGCGTTGCAAATCAAGCAATCTCAATCGGTTTTCTTTTTCTTGTTTTCTTCGACGTCTGATCTGTAAAAGAGAACAAAATCAAAATAAAAGCCTCAAAATGCAAATTAAATTCAACGGTTATCAAAGTTAAGTTCATGGAAATGAGCAAAAACCTCAATATATTTCTCCCTTTCCGATTGAATGCTTGCAGAACGGACACTCTGAGCTTCCGCAGCTGGGAATTTCGGAGCCTGCGCAGTCTGTTCATTTGTCGAAGTGCGTGGACCAAGATGAACCGTTTTTGTCAGCGATCCTCGAGCATTGAACGTTACCGATGAACTACCAGCGGGAGCAGCCTGAAGACGTCTTTCTTTCCAATACGTTAATGAAATAAGTCTGTGTTAAAGTGTTTTTTAACATCACAACATAGAGTTTATCAACTATGAACTAAAACGAATCAGCATGCATAATTCTAAGCATCGACCAGCAACGTTTTGCAAAAATACAGTAAACCCTTAACTCAGCTAGAATGTATCATAATTGCAAGTCAGTAAAATTCTCAGTTACAAAATAGCTAATTAGCAGCCGTAATGTTCGTAATAAAAGGGTGATGCCCGATATGCATTGAAGGCGATTCGAAACGACTAAAGCCTTATCATGCATTTCTGACCGGGGCTAGTAATCCCACTACAAGACCAAGGATAGCCAGCTGGCTGACGTCAGCGAACAACTACAGCATTGGTCAAAGCAACGACGACAATGAAGAAGTTGCCAGCTGCGCAGATGAAGCATACTACGAACTAAGAACTGCTTCATCCGCTCCAGGTACAGTGAAATTTTCAATATTACAGTTACTGATCTTGCTGTAAAGGTGTAATGTAAACTCAATCCTC